GAACCCGCGACCCTCTGATTGCGAGTCGAGCGCCCTAACCACCTGGCCATGCCGGGCCTTTACAATAGTAAAACATGAGGAGGAAGCACGAGAAAATGTTAAAATATTACACATTTAAATTCCTTTTCGGTTTGTTAATATCACTAGCTATCTAATAAACCTTTGCCAATTGGTTTGAGGCACCACTGATCTTGTTTAATTCCAGCTTATTAGAACCAGTCGTTTCTCTGCCCACAGCACAAGAAATTATTATTAATGGACAACCTACACAACGGGCATTGTGTAACTGTTAGAACGACAGTAATAAATTGTGCAGCTGTAGTATACCCTTAAGCACTAAATATAAAAAAACATTCTCAAAACACCACACTTGAACAATAGTTAAAGCATGACTTTAACTAGGAATGAGAAAAATTATGTTTTGTGGTCCGTGCATTTCACATTCTTACAGATTAATTATTCCTATTGTGTTAACTTTATGGTTGAAATTGAGTTTGACTTTTTTTCTCTAACGTTTGATTATTAGATTTCGGCGGCTAATAAACTTCTTTGTTCGCCGTTTCATTTAGAAGTTCGAAATGAATAAATCTAAAACTGAATTTTCCACAAATCTCCTAACTTAGCATATCTATATACTTTCATTCTCTTCGTTCCTTTAATTATAGCATCTGGATCGCTTTAATTCATTTGTTATGAAAAATATAAAATTCAAATGTTTTATTTGAATCATTAACATGATTCAGTTTTATTCTCTATCTTAACTTAATGAAATATCTTTAAAAATTTAATAATCTCAAGATTTAAATTTTGGTTTGTTTTCATTTTGCCCTTTATGACATACAATGCTTAAAAGAAAGGAAGAAAACTTTTTGTTTGTTTCTTAGTTAAGCGCAAATCTACGCAATGGACTATCTGTGCTCTGCTCACCACGGGTATCGAAACCCGGTTTCTAGCGTTGTAAGTCCACAGACATACCGCTGTGCCACTAATGGCAAGATGTTTTGAACGTGGAAGAATATAGTATCTATACAGGCTATAGTTCTGAATATTTGTCCTGATTTTTAACAAAATTCTATTGCTTTTATGGCGAGGTGGCTAGGGTGCTCGACTCCTAATCTGTGGGTCGTGGGTTCGAATTCCCGTCGCCGAACATGCTCGCCCTTTCAGTCGTGGAGGCGTTATAATGTTAGAGTCAATTCCACTATTAGTTGGTAAAAGAATAGCCCAAGAGTTAGCAGCGAGTGGTATTGACTAGCTATCTTCCCTCTAGTATATTACTGCTGAATTAGGAACGGCTAGCGCAGATAGTCCTCAGGTAGCTTTGTGCGAAATTCAAAACCAATCAAACCAATTTACTGATTTTTCTTGTTTCAGTGTCTAAGTATTTTGTGTTATTTCATTTTTGCAAGCTGGCTGATTGGTTAGGTGCAAGTTTTTCAAGTCAAATTTTATTATATATATATTGATTGATCTAACAGTTGCTACGTTACAAAATAAACTTAGATCTTTATATCTTACGGAAAGTATTTTATTTATTATTTAATCAAAACTAAACATTTTGAGCCTGCTGTACCGTACATGCGCCTTGGCAGTCTCAGCAGATGGATAGTGGCTGGTAGGTCTTTTAATACA